AACAAATATAAATAATGCTGTGAATTCCTCGGATAATCCTATCTAATTATCCGGTGCTGGTGAATGTTGGAACGCTTCACGTAATAATTATCCGTAACTTCTATTCTTTCCCGCTTCACAGCATTATTTATATTTGTTATGTATATTTATATTTATATATAATCAGCATTATTTATATTTATATATAATCAGATCTGAGCTATCTAGGTCTATATATGATTATATATAACACGACTCTACAAAAAAATTTTCGTTCTTTGTCCTAAAGTTTATACTATTATTTTCCAGTTAGTTATGCACAAAAACGAAAAAAAAATACCTTTTTTCGGTATAAAGTTTGCATTTGTGATAGTTATAATAATAATACTCATTTTTCAATTTTTTCATGAATTTTAATTGGGTATTTGCATGATTTTGGTATTCATTAACTTTAGATAATTTTACATTCTATATAATTTTTTAAAATTTTTGAAAAAAAAATTTTTCGATTTTGTTCTTAAAAATTTAAATAATTAAATAAATAAAAAAAGCTGATATTTAAATGAATAGGTAGCTCCATCTCGTGTATGTGACGTCACGATGCTTATTTCATTTGAAATTTTAAGCGCCAATTGCTCTTGTAAGCACGTGGCAGGTGTAAACAGTTGTTGTGCTGAATTGTATTTGATTAAAAAAAGATCTGGTAGTGTTGTTTATAATAAAATAAAAGTATTCAATTACTCGAAATGTCGTCAAAAAACGATTTTTGTTGGTGTATAGTTCCAACGTGTAGAAATAGTGGTAAATCGACACCAGAAAAAATTTTTATTAATGTTCCATCGAATTCTGTTAAACGGAAAAATTGGTTAGATGCATGCAGGAATAAAACTCATTATTCATCATCAACTTGGCTTTATTGTTGTGAAGATCATTTTGACGTAAGTATTTATTAAAAATTTCTTATAATAATTACATAAAATTATAACCTAAAATTGTGATTTTCAAGTTATTTCATGAATTGATGATGAATTTTATTCATTTTAGCTTAAAGTGGATTTGGAAAATTGGTTGGAATGGACAATGGTTGGTGGTAACAAACGGATAAGGAATAATGTTGTGCCTCATAAATTTATTGAGCAATCAAAATCCTCAAGCATGAAAGATGCTCCTTCAATGGATGTAGATCAATTAGGTACTGAAACAATGAATTTAAATATTGCCAAGTTACGGCTGGGTCAAATCTCTGGAAGTATAACGGATAATTTAAATTCTGAGTGCACATACCAATTTAATTTTAATATACAAGAAGATTACGATAAGAATAGATCCAATGTCTGCGATGTCCGCCCTGCTATTGGAAGTCAAAAACTGAATGTTGGTGTCCAAGTCAAGATAAAGAGTTCATACAGGAGTGTAAAAGTTCAATGTAAACCTGTGACTAAAGATCGTGCATCATCTCCGATTGAGCAGTTGATAGAAAATGAAAATGCGCATAATTATTGTTCTCAACCAACGAATAATGATCCATTATCAAATTCTTTACCTAATACTACGAATTTATCTTCTAATACAACTGCTAGTTCATTCCCTTCTTCATCAGATAATTTTTTAACAACAAATGGACTTAACTTGGAAGAATTCGGTTGTCACCTCGTAAATACATTGGGATTTCGGGTGATTGCTTGGATATTGTTGATATTTTACGTATGGCTAATTTAAGTGACATTGATATATTTATTACGTTAAAAAAAATAAGATTGAATGAAAGTTTTACGATTTTAGCTGATGATTTTGGAATGTCCACTTCTAATATAAGTCGCATCTTTCCTAAGACTTTGCCAATCATAGCAGAATATCTAAAAGACTTTATTATATGGCCTTCATCGGCAAGAATTAAACGTCAGTTGCCAATAAGTTTTCGAAGCCGTTATGCAGCAGTAGAATCAATCATTGATTGTTTAGAAATTGAAATTGAAAAGTCAACAGATCCTGTCAAACAATCATTAACCTGGTCTGAATACAAAAAATGTAATACGGTTAAATATTTAGTGTCTTGTACACCTGATGGCATAGTTAATTTTATTTCACCTGGATTTGGTGGTAGGACATCGGATGCTGAAATAGTTTCTCAATCTGGATACTTGGATTGTTTAAAACCAGGCGCTGCTGTACTTGCTGATAGAGGCTTCAAACACATAGAAAATTTTGTAGTTGAAAAAAAAATGTAAATTAATTAGACCACCAACAGTAAGTTCTGAGAAGCAACCAAGTCATGACGAAGTTATAGCAACAAAACGAATCGCCAGTCTCCGTATCCACATTGAAAGACTAATAAGAAGAATACGAGAATTCGAAATTTGTGAACCTCATTCATGTGTAAATATTAAACTTATTCCTCAGATGGATAATATAATGACAATCGCCGCAGCTTTAACTAATCTACAGGGACCATTGATAAAAAAAACATGAGTTATAACAGTTGTTGTTCAATAAAAATGTAATATTTATTTTAAGATTTCAATTTTTGTATTTTTGTTAATAAATAACTTAATTATATGACGTCTCGTTCTCGGGATTACATTACACGTAGTACCGCTGTTTGTACTGCAATATCACCACAACTTTAGAGTATTTAAAAAAAAGACTGGAGCGCCTCTAGTGGCCCTCCATCGCCTACGTCCTCGTATCCAACTCATAACGTTTTTTGTGCGCGATAGCATCACAACGTAAGAGTGAAAAGTAGAATTTTTAGTTAGAAAAATTCTTAAAAAAGGAAAATTATTAAACGGGAATTATGTCTAAAAGCAAGAGGAAGAGAGAGAGAGAAGAAAGAGAAGAAAAAATGTGGAAAAAGATAAAGGAATTAGAAGAAGCCCTTCGTGGCTCGATGTCTAATACCCAGCTGCCAAAGCAAGTTGCAACACAGTCATCTGGTAAGCTTAATTATTGTTTTGACAATATTCTGAACGAATGTTCAAAAATGGCAATGCGCCCACACGAGTGGTGGGACATATTGTTCAATAAAAAAGTCGGTTTAGTGCGTACACGAGTGGTAGCGTCATAACCGTAAAAATGTTTTCTGTTTACAGGAGCATCTAAGCTGGCCGCCGAGTCGGATAACGAGAAGACTCCGTTATCGACGGGAGACAAGCAGCAGCTAGATAACTTACCACCAGAGTCTAAATCAACCGAGATGTCGCCTATTGTCAAACCGACTCCAGAATCCGGGAAATCAAACGATGTTGAGTCGTTAAAAGACCCAAATACGTCTGGTGGCGTGACTGAGTCCGATAAAAAAGAAAATGCTCCGGAAAAATTAGATGTCGAGATCATAGAGATTTTGGGTGAGGATCCTTTAGCAGAAGACCCTCAAGTAGGAGTCTTACACTCGGAAATTGCAACTCGCTGGTCAAACCTCATAAGTAATGGGTTAAAAAAGGAACTGAAGAGTGATCTATTGGCAAAATACCCACGAGCTAGTAATTGCCAACTAGAAGCTCAAACTTTAAACCCGGAAGTCGCAGCGTCAATGCAAGACACGGCAGTAAAGCGAGACAAATTTGCTTGCGAAATTCAAAACATTATTGGATCCGCAATGTTAGCCCTGGGCAAAGGGATTTCATTGATGCTTGAGGAAAAAGAAGATGGAGTCGACAGAATGGAGCTTCTGAAATATCTTTCTGACTCTGGAAGACTCTTAGCAGAAGCTCATCATAAGGAAGCTATGACGAGACGCTCCTTTATACTTCCTGGCATGGACAAGAATATAAAGGAGGTTTTAGAAAAATCAAAACTCGATAAATTTCTGTTCGGAGAAGATTTATCTGAAAAAATTAAATCGACAAAATCCATTGTAAAGGTGGCAGCAGAAATAAAAACAAAACCACAGTCGCAGAGAACTCCTTTGAAAACTGCGAACCAGGGAAACTGGAAGGCCCCATCCTCCAAGATGCAATGGGCAAGGATGGGGAGTTCGAAATCAACGCAACAGACAAAAGCAACGGGGTCCAGTGCTCCGAAGAAACAGTATCAACAGTCGTCTCGATCCCAGCTGAAAACGTCACGCTCGCTGACGGATCGCCGTCATTGACATCAAAGGTATCAACAACGGCAGGAAGATTGAAATTCTTTGTCAATAAATGGCGAGAGATCACAGACAACAAATTTGTGTTAAATTGTATACTGGGTTATCAAATTGAATTTGATAAACCAGTTTTGCAAATTAATGAGCCTAAAAATTTAATAAGTGAGGCACAGGGCCTTAAGGACTGCAAGGACGCCATCAGTAAATTATTAAATATTGGCGCCATTCAACCATGTGATAATGTAGAAGGTCAATTTATCTCCTCATACTTTTTGGTAGACAAGCCAGATGGTTCCAAAAGGTTTATACTAAATTTAAAAAACTTAAATAAGTTTATTAAAACAACGCATTTTAAATTAGAAGACATGAAATTAGTTTCAAAAATAATTTGTCAGGGAGATTTTATGGCAAATTTAGACTTAGAAAATGCCTATTTTCTGATCCCTATTTGTAATTTTAGCAGAAAATTTTTAAGATTTCGGTTTCAATCGCAATTATATGAGTTTCTTTGTCTACCATTTGGCTTGGCTACAGCTCCATTTATATTCACCAAGGTCCTAAAACCTGTGATGAATTTTCTTCGTAAACGTGGGTACGTGTCGGTAGTTTATTTGGACGACATTTTGTGTATCGGGCCAGATTTTTTGTCGTGCAATGAAAATATAATAGAAACAATTAAATTATTCGAGTCATTAGGGTTCATTGTAAATAGAAGAAAGAGCGTATTAACGCCGAGTAAAAAATGTCAATTCTTAGGGTTCTGGATTAACTCAGAACGCTTAACATTCGAGTTACCAGAATCAAAGAGATTAAAAATCCTTGAATTAGTTAGAAGAATGCGGGGGAAAAAAGAGTGTAAGATTAGAGACCTAGCAAAATTTATTGGAAATTTAATAGCAGCCTGCCCAGCAATTAAATATGGATGGCTGTACACAAAGGCTTTTGAGAGGGAAAAATATTTGGCCTTAGTAGAAAATGAAAATAATTATGAAGGAAAAGTACAGCTCAAGGAAAATCTGACCGAAGATTTTGCTTGGTGGGAGAAGAACATTCTTTTATCAGTGAATGGTTTTGGAGCTCACCAATACGAAAGAACAATTTTTTCTGACGCATCGCTGACTGGATGGGGAGCGTCATGTAATAATAAACAATCACATGGTTTTTGGTCTGTCGAAGAGAGGAAATTTCATATAAATTTCTTGGAATTACTTGCAGTCTTTTTAGCCCTAAAAGTTTTTGCTGCTGATCTTTACCATTGTAAAATTCTCCTTAGAATGGACAATACCACAGCGATCTCCTACGTCAACCGAATGGGCGGCATTCAATACCCGCACCTAAATAATTTAGCCAAAGAAATTTGGCAATGGTGCGAAACAAGAGATTTGTGGATTTTCGCCTCGTATATTCCATCTAAAGAGAATGTAGAAGCAGATAGGGAATCAAGGATGAGCAATATTGATACCGAATGGGAGCTCGCGGATTTCGCCTTTAAGAATATAGTTGAGGTCTTCGGGAAACCAACAATTGACCTTTTTGCGACTAGAATTAACACAAAATGTGAAAAATTCTGTTCTTGGTACAAGGATCCAGATGGGTCTTATGTCGATGCATTCACTATAAAATGGAGTGAGAAAAATTTTTATGCTTTCCCTCCTTTTACGCTAATACCCCGGGTATTGCAAAAGATCATTGCAGAAAAGGCAGAGGGCATTTTAGTCATACCATTCTGGACAGCTCAACCTTGGTTCCCTATTTTTGAATCCCTATTAATAGAGAGACCAATTATTTTTAATCCTCATAAAAAATTACTTCTTTCTCCTTGCAGGACCCAACACCATCCACTGTGCCAAAAAATGTCGTTGATTGCCGGAAAATTATCAGGGAAGCGTTCGCACGGAGAGGTCTCTCAGTTCAGACAGCAGAGATAATGCTGTCATCTTTAACAGAAAATACTGTAAAGCAGTATTCTAATCCTATTAAATTGTGGTGGCAATTTTGTAACAAAAAAGGATTAGATCCTTTCGAAATCTCGGAATCTGAACTGCTGGACTTTTTATCTATAAGATTTGAAGCCGGTGCTTCTTATGGCACATTAAATTCCATGAGAGCTGCTATTTCCTTAATTGCCGGGACTAATTTATCTGATAGTGTGTTATTAAACAGATTTTTTAAAGGCGTTTTTAAACAACGACCATTGAAGGCCAGATATGATAGAACTTGGAGAAAGGAATTTGTTTAAAGCATGAGTTACAGCATGCTGATTTCTGAAACCAAATTGGTTGTTAGGTATTATATTTTTATTAGTAATAATGATGTCTAGCTGTTTTTTAATTAATCTTTCAAAAATTTTACTGATGCTCATGGTGAGTGAGATAGGTCGGTAGCTTTGAGGTAGTTCCGGATTTTTGTCTTTCTTTGGAATCGGCAGGACTTTGGCGGCTTTCCATCTGCTTGGGTAGTAAGCATTGTTGATAGCGTTATTAAATATAATTATATAATCTTTTATAACTGTTTCTGGTAGGTTTTTTAAGACGACAGTAGGAATGTTATCAAGTCCTGATGAGGTTTTGTTTTTTAATTTTTTGAGAATTACCCTGACGGATCCAAAGTACGGTAGAGTACGGTAATGTACGGCAAATTTACGGTAGGGTACGGTAGAGTACGGTACGTACAGTGATTTACCGTAATACAGTATGACACCGTAAATTACGGAGATTGTACGGCAATGTACCGTGATTGTACAGTAATTTACCGTTATTGTACGGTAAGATACCGTGATTGTACGGTAAAATACCGTAATTGTTAGTAAAATACTCTAATTATCCGGTAAATAAAGTACTATTTTTGTACGCTAAGGTACCATAATTGTACGGTAATTTACCGTAATTGTACGGTAATTTACCGTAATTGTACGGTAATTTACCGTAATTGTACGGTAACATCGCTAAAATAAGGTATATTTGACGGTAGGTTACCATTGGAATACGGTAGTGCGGAAAGTTCAGAAGTATATATTCTACCGTATTTTCACCGTACACTACCGTATTTGTACCGTAATTTTACCGTTCTATACCGTATTATCCCCGTTCTTTACCGTACGTTACGGTGTTTTACGGTTTCTACCGTGCAAGTAGAATGCTACTATGTAATCTACGGTGACCATACGGTATATCGACCGTATTTTTACCGTATAATACCGTAATTTTACGGTATTTCAGATCCGCCAGGGTAATGATACTTCTATGTAGCTGAATAAAAATTTAGGATCATCATCAAGTTTCTTGGGATAGTAGGCTGGATTTTCTTTTGAAAATTCCACAAAAGTCTGCTTGTTATTTTTCATCTTTTTAGTTTCTTCGGCTTCTTTGTCGACTTTAATTTTTGTTGAAGTTCCGATATTCATATATCTGGGTGAGTTAATACTTTCCAGGTATTTACCAATTATAAAAAGTTTGGTTTCAGGATCAGATGCAATAATTTCATTGTTAGAGATTAGTTCAGGAAATTTGCTATTACAGAGAGTACTAAGGTCTCTGTTGTCAATTGGTATCTTTAGTGTATTAATGTTGATGTCTTTTCTTGGCCTTAGCATTCTATTTATTTTTGGGAAAAATTCATGCGGGTTTTTAAAGTTGATACTCTTGATTTGTGCTTCCCAATATGCTGTGACGGTTTTGCCGAATTCTTTATGTAGTAATTTGTTGATTCGTTTGATGGTCAATTTAATTCTAATTTTCTCTTGCAGACTTACAGGGATTTTGTCAAATTGTCTTTTGATAAGATAGGATTTGTAGGCGTGTAGACGTTTGATTTTCTTATTATTGTATTTGAGATAGTAGTCGTCTTGTTTCTTATTTCTTGGAATGGTTGATATCATGGAGTCCTGTATTTTGGATTCCAGCTGGCCTATATATTTATCTATTTCATCAATTGACAAATTCCTATCACTAGGTATTGAAATAACTTCGGAGTAGTTTTTTAAAATATTTTTCCTGAACTTATTCCAATTTGCTTTTTTGAAATTAAATTGACTTGGAATGCTGTTTAAGTTATTAAGGAGTCCAGGAGCACATTCTTCTACTGATATTGTTAGTGTGATAGCTAGATGGTCGCTATCGTATGGGAGGGTTTGTAGTTTTCCGTTAATTAGGTTAGTAAAGTCTATTCTCATGTCAATGAGACAGTGGTCAAGATAAGAATTGGCTTTAGGAAATGTTGGTTCCTTTGGAGAAAGCAGTGTGGTTTTATATTCTAAATAGTTAAATTCTATCCAATCAGCTAATTGTTCACCTCTTTCATTTGATTTAGTGTCACCCCAAGAGGTATTTCTGGAGTTGAAATCGCCGGCTATTATGTAATAGTTGTTGCTGCTGTCGAGGTTAAAGTCTTTCATTAGCTTCTTTAGTTCTTGTATAAATTTATAACCCGTAAATTGAATGGCATAGATACTTATTATTATTAGGTTCGTTTTACTATTACTTTTAATTTTGATCGCTGTGAATTCAATAACTTTATTGTTTGATAAGTTTGGGTAGTGAATCACTAAGAACTTGATCTTGTTATGGATTGCTATGGCGGTCCCTCCGCCTTTGGTGGAGTTAGGTCTGTCTGTTCTGACTAGCTGGTGGTTAGATAACTGAACTCTATGTTTTTCGTTTAATTTTGTTTCAGAGATTAGACAGATATCAATCTCGTATCGATCGATAAACATCTGTAAATCACATCTGCGTTTCAACTTGCCAATAGAGTTGACATTAATAGCTGCAATTTTTAGGTTGTTATGGTTTATTGGATCCATTATTCGTCATTGAAAAAAGCAGACACTAATTGGTCTATTCTTATGGTGTTGGCTGTGATTCTATCATTCATTTTTTTGAATTCCGTCATAATATCATTTTTAAAAGACAATAGTATATTTTCTATATTGGGTGAGCTCGTGTTATGAGAGTTGTGGCTAGATGATGCTGACTGTTCGTTGTAAACAGGTGAATTTAGATGTACTCCAGCTGCCGACGGCTTGGCTTTGGGTAGTGGTGGAAATTGTCTGGAACTGGTAGTGTTCGCGAATGAGAGTCCTGGTTGGACGTAGCTATTTATTGCACTAACTATTTTTTTCCTCTTGGCCTCGTTCATCTTTTTTTTGTCAAGTTTTAACTTAGTTATAAGATTAAGGGCCGGGCAGCCTTTATAGCTGGCTGGATGGCCCGTTTCTCCGCAGTTGATGCATCTTAGTTGACTTTTATCTTCCGCTGTCTTGAAGTTGCAATCTTTAGATTCGAGCTCACCAGCACATTTTACGCATACCGGTTGTAATTGGCAGTTTGCACTTGAGTGCCCAGTTTGCTGGCACCTTTTGCACATAAAGATGGTTGGCTTCCTCAATCGTTCCCACCTGATAGGCTGTGAAAGAAGCGCTTTCAGCCTGGTGAGTGAAGCCAGTTTACTGTCTGCAGATGCAGAGACTAGAAAGTGAAAAAAGTTTGGATTAGTTTTATCAAAGATTAATTTACTAACCTTAGTGATCGTGATGTTGGCTAGGTTCTTGTTGACGAGAGCGGTTTTGACGTCATTTCGTCAAATCCACCTCGTGTTCCCTTCAATACAATGGTTTTTGTTTTAAGATGTCTCGGAGTATAGGTGAAGTATTTCGCCTTCTCTGATTTTAGAGCATTAATGCTTAGCTCGTACGTAGCCATGTTGGTTGGGTGTATTTTGGTGAATGATTCATCGAATTCTCATACAGTGAACTCGGAAGATTTGATCCCTCTCGATAGTAGAAAAGTAATCGTCGGTTTGATACCTGTTATCTGAGCGTAGATTGGAGGAGGCCTGATTTTAGTATTATTTTTCTGGTCTGTTTATTTGTTGTCGGATTCGGGTTTTGGTTCATTGTTTACTGAGTTTTTATTTTTATTTCTGGGTTTTGTCTTATTTTTGGTGACAGTTTCATCAGTTGATTCCTCATCAAAGAGTATGCTGAATTGATTATTCGAGTTGAAGTTATTGTTATTATTTGTAACTTGACGTATTTTCGCGGGCTTGCGTGGAATTATAAAATCATCGTCGATTCTGTTAGTGCTGCCGTCTTCCGAGTCGTAGCTGGACTGCGATGCAGATCGGCTTCTGGGATGTTTAAGGTTAGGTAGTTAACGCTTTTGTACTTCTGGAATTTTTGTATTTTTATTACCTAATAAAATATTTCTAGCTATCAAACCTGCGTCCAGATTTTTGTTGAAGACTTTGTCAGCTAGTAAGTCCTTATTGTAAGTGATTTTTGGCCCTTTAGGGTCGTCTGTCGCACCGCCTTGGGCGGATGTACTCGCTTGGGTGTTAGCCATGTGCTCAAGACCTCAGCTACCTAATTAATATGGATAGCTGAAGCTTGGGCAATATATAAATGCACTGGTTTATTATTTAGTGAAAATATGTTCAAATAGTGACCGTCAAAAAATTTGAGTTGCGGCACAACACTCAGTTTAAATTATAAGCACACACACACACACACACACACACACACACACACACACACACACACACACCTGCGGCAGAGGAGAAACTGCTACCAGGCGCGTCTCCCCGTAGCGGATGGGTTGACACTCGCTGTCCTTGGATGACACTTGGATAATCTCCTAGTTGATAAGGTACAGAGGGTAGGAGTTAAATAAAATACGCTCCCGTGG